TTATTATCATTATTATTATTATTATTAGCATTAGCATTATTATTATTAGAAGTTTGATAAGACTTGTGTTACCAAGCTTCAGGAATAATGTAATTCCATTGGATATTGAACGAGAATCAGAATCAAATGTAGCTATTTGTCCTTTCGGAAATTACAATGGAACGCAATTGCTGTAAACGTTCACAAACGTAAACACATATAAAAATAAAATAAAATACACATAGCTTAAACTACTGAATATATACATAACTGACTGTCCTGCAGCCAGACTATAGGTTGTTAATTAAACGAATGGAGTAAGGCAAAAACGAATTGAAAAACCTTGAGGTTCTACACATTGACGTTCTAAGCAAGCCGTCCAGATTGTAAATAATTGTATTCTGTGTGGTGTGGAGTGAGTGATTGGCGTCGTTTATGATGGCGGTCGCTTGAATTATTATTTGGTTTTTACAAACGTCATCAATGGAAATTATTGTATCAAACAATTTGCAAGCCTTATTAATAATGACTTGTAACTTTCGTAGGTCCCCTTTCCTAATTCCACTGTACCAAACCAAACAACCATACAACATTGCACTTTGCATTACAAACGAGAAAAATAATTTAAGTAAAGACTAATCTACTTGGAAACCAATGTGCCATACCAACAATAATAATAATGTAATAGCCCACTCGTTCCAACTAGAGAGCTTATGTTATCAGTCTTGCTATCAGAGGCTTATTTTGTGATGATGTTTGACTGATATTTTGGTATATTGAGGAGGAAGTTTGTGGTAAGATCCAAGGTTAACAAAACCACATCTTACCAGTGGCGTAACGCCTATGCGCTCTCGTCGTGCGGCGGCAAGCGGGACATTGGCCACCTACCCATAGGGTCATCGATCTAACACCCTCACTTACATCAGCTTTGTTAATACATAACAGCATAATGTGTCTTTGACTCAACTGTAGGATATCATATTAAATGTAGTGGCGGATTAAAGGGAATCCGCCGAAATTATATTCAAATTTTAAGTCTGTGAGTGCCATTGCCGGTGT